TATATATATATATATATATATATATATATGTATGTATGTATGTACTGGCATGTTGTTGCCTTTTGTGGGGATGTTTTGGAAATCAAATATCCTGTTATAGTCGTCCCATATGGATTTATTCAATGAATAATGTTTGTATGTTTTGTTGTTTTTATGTTTATTTGGCTAGCTAGCTAAAAAAATGTACAGTACATTACTTTTTCCTTCCTCTACTGCAGCCAAAACATTTTGTTTTATTTATGCTTTATATAAATTGAGCCATTACTTTGTTTTAAAAAACCCAAACCAGAGAAGTTAGTTAGTTAGTTAGTTAGTTAGTTAGTTAGTTAACACATCTGCTAGCTAGCTAGCTAGCAAATGAGTGACAACTTTATTGTATCGAAGTATTGACAATTTTGGAGATGTATGATATGTAAAAATAGCTGTCGCCATTTGTTTGAATGGCCCATATTACAACAACCTTTATAAAATGATCGTATAGTTCTGTGTTTATTTTTGACGATAGGTGTAGCCATTACTTTGTTTCATCAAACAAAATACAAATTTTTGAATCTGGAAAATGTTTCAAATGATTGGCAAAGACAATGCATTGTTTTAATAATGCAAGAGCTGACAAATTTTCGAAAAGGACCAATATTTTTGAGTTACGGATTGACAGCAGATATTACCATGACTTTGTTTTACGAACCCAAATACAAAAGAAACTTTTTGAAAATGTGCTCAAAGGTGGTTTGAATAAACCGTGTGCTGACAAACAATGTTATTCGAGCTGATGATTTACAGCAAATGTAGCTTAGTTTTAATTAACCAACCACCTTGTGCATTTGCAGGATGTGTGGCTAAATGTATTCAAATTAGGTTCGCTGGACCTTGGCAGTGGTCTGCGCTCTACCAAGCTCCCTTCTTGTTACGTTGCTGTGTTGAAATGTGGATTTTTGGATGTTTTTTGGTGGATGTTTTGATGCGTCAAGCCACGCTTGTGTGCAAGGCCGTGCGGCATTCCCATCAGTCTCTCAGCATGGGAACGAAACCTTCCCACTGGCAGCGGAATCAAAGTTCACGGCGGTTGCGGCGTCCTGCCGAGTGCGCAAACAAACGTGCTAACACGTCACCAGTTAGTGCAGCTGGCTTACAATTAAAGATACTTTCTCATACATTCCAAATTGAGCTAATTCGTCATGATTTACATCTCTTGATGAGGAAAACATATGACGAGCGATCCATTACAATGGAAATCAGCATTGTTTAGTATTGTTGCGTCTGTTGGCAGGAGATAGGCGTGTGCGTTACGAAGTGTGAACTATCGGGCCCTATGCTGCTGCAAAAAAACAATCTCTGCTTCCGAGCAAATGGGCTGCGGTGGCGTGCCGCCAAGTCCGTAATGGAATCCTGCAGCGTTAGCAAGGTCCGACAGGAGCCCCGCATCTCTCCCAATCCCGTAACCTATCCCGACAACACACTATTTTTTTCCCCATTACAGCTGGTGGAAAAGCTATCCCCCAAAAAAGTGAAAGTGTTGGCCGTTTTCATTTTGGGGATGTATTTGGCTGCTTGAGGGACGGCACTGGGTTAGCTGTACATGGCTGGGCAACGGCAATGACTCCCTAAGTCTTTTCCCTGTCTCGCTTGTTGGTCATTTGGAGGCACAGCAGGCAACACACATTGACCCACACACAAGTTCATTCTTGTCTTTTCATTTATTTCTGCAGTCACTGGGAATGAGCACAGTTTCAACAAAATCTTAGTTGGCTTTAGAGCAGGGGTGTCAAACTCATTTTTTGTCGTGGGCCACTTCGGAGTTGCGGCTTCCCTCGGGGGGCCGGTGCAAAATCTCAACGTTATTTATTACCCATGACAATTTGTCATTTTGGTTAAAATTTCAGCAAGAATCATGATAGTTGACACACATGATTTGCTCCCGCGGGCCACATAAAATGACGTAGGGGGCCGGATCTGGCCCCCGGGCCTTGACTTTGACACATGTGCTTTAGAGGCTACTTCTCAAAATTTGTGAAGCCGCTGTTGTGTTTTTAAAACAACCAAACTAATTTGCTTTAGGGTTCGCTCGCTCAATACATAACACAGAAGTTAGTCTGTCCATGGCATTTCACCCATGGACAGACTAACTTCTTGATGTTCTAGTCCTTGAAACAATGGACAGGTGAACACAAACGGTGGAGTAACACATTTAGACCAGCAATACTCACAGGCATATATTCTTGATCCTCTTCGCAAATGACTGTGACATTTGCCATGACAAATGACAATTCCGTGGTGAAGTCACACACGCCAGTAGCCACAATGAATTAATTCTGATGCGAAAACTGTTTAATACTTCACAATTTATTCACTGTTATTTCTATATGGTTTTATAAAGCACAGTATTACAGAATGTTATTTTCCTGATTTCGTTTGCTATTGCATTCCCATTCATTTCAATGGGTAAGATGATTTGCGATCCATCGATGTGGTCTCACCGATGGCAACAGTAACCACGATATGACCCGCAATTAAAAGCTACCCTGAGATCCCTGCACTCCATCATCGGTGACTACTAGGTCCGTATCCGTCACCGCTATTTGACCATAGCGATTCGAGATTCCATGACAGTCTTGATGAAGGAATTTGACAAAGTTTGACGAAAATGAACTTTTTTTTCCCTGAGTTTTATGAAAGTGTTTTGGAATGACAGGGATGTATGGCCTTTGGGCTGTGTGAGTGGGCAGGGCATTCACCCACACACACACACACACACACACACACACACACACACACACATACACGGGATCAGAGGCAGTGTGCAGCTCTCACCCCTGCCTCCCTTTGATCCATGTCCCGGGGCCTGCCCGCCTGCCCGCCTGCACCGCACCAACGCACGCTGACACCGTGCTCACCAGCGACTCCCCACAACTGTCTGAGCGAGATAAGCCAGGGGAGACTCCAAACTGAGCTGCTTCTCCTCCATTAGCCTACGAAGACGCTTTAAAAAAAAAAAAAAAGATGGGATGAATTATTTTTAAGAGCTCTTGTCACTGCCAAAAAATGGAAAAAGAAGAGAAGAAGAGGGGGGGTGAAGTATACTTCATTCTGCCTGACTTCGAACAAGACACCCTCTACCTGAATACCAATGAGAGACAGGGTTGTGGATGGGGGTGGGGAGGGTAAATTGGTGTAGTCCCCCACAGTATTAAAACTTGGGCATTAAGCCTCTCACCGGGCACTGTGTCAGCTGGCAACCGCCGCTGACAACAAATCAAAGGGGATGAGCACATTGCCCGCCTGCATTCACAGCACCACCCGCTCTCTCAGCAAGGATGGGGGGGGGGGGGGACGCATGAACCATGGGGGTGTACATAGTGGTTAATTAGAAGTCCCATTAAAACAAATGCTGTTTCAATTTGGCAACGATTTTAAAAAAGCAGATGTAAGAGGCTTTCTGTAAAAAAAAAAAAAATACTAAACAAGACACCCTCTGTCGGCAGCTGCCAAGAGAATCCAGGGACTGTAAATCATATCCAGTGGCTATACTGTTTGTGCACAGATTATTACTTCTGCCTGTTATGTTTGCAATAGTTCTGAACTCTGAGGAAACCTGCGCTGACTGTGACATCACTAATGTGCACGACACAAGCAGTGTGCTTGTGTGCGTGCGTGCGTGTGTGTGTGTGTGTGTGTGTGTGTGTGTGTGTGTGTGTGTGTGTGTGTGTGTATAGTCGGCTAAATGCTCACATTTGCAGAGATTTAACAGCTGCTTCTATTAATATCAGCCCGTTTAACTAGAATGGTGCCTATGGAGCGCAGACCTCCGCCAAGGTCGCAACATCGCTAGTTTGGATTGACAACAAATTTTAGCTATTACAATGGGACAAAAAGTCCTCACACTATTATTCAGAGCCTCACCGAAATGTTTTTGATCCTCTGCACCACACTTCCACA